GTAATAGGAATCTATAATAACAAATTCAGCATGTTAGCATTGTTTAAATATATAGCCTATACATCCTTAATTAACTATCTGTTTTATATCGCTTTCAATGAATTGTAGATATGTTAAACCATAAGTATCCTAGTCTGTACAGATATTGTATTCACGAAGTATATGACACTGTGATGGAGTTTGTTACCGCGCGAACGAAATGGTGAGAACGCGTAACTTTTCATTTTTGATAGCCACTCGCACGGACGTATCTCGTGTCATGAACAAAGTTTTTAATCAACGAATTTCCGAAACCCCGATGAAATGGGGGTCAAGGGTTAATTGAACGAGGACGGTGGATTCGGTCGACGTGTCGCTGTTGTGACTGTGACTGAAATGTTAAGAGTGAAGTTTAAAACAAAAAGAGCTAAAAGGATTGAAGAAGATAGGATCGGGAAAATTGTATTGGAAACTGGGATCGCAAGGGTGCAAAGATTAAATGCACAGTGTTTTCTATTATACGTATTACTTATTGTTTACAATCTAACTGAATTGTATATCTTTTGATCTAAATACATGCATAAATTTAAAGTATAATAATTCTTCTATTCAAAAACGAAATCGATTTGGTATTTTTTTTATGGTAAAACGTGTTAGATTCGAATATTGATATAAAAATATCAAAAACGTGGAACACTGTGAAGAGACTCTAGATGTCCCGAGCATCGATACTTGTTTTATCTCCATTTTAACAGTCCTTTGAAAAAAGCTATATAGTAATGTTGTACGAAGTATCCTGTCAGAAACAGATGACGCGAGCTTCTTTTATTCAATTCGTCAATTCTCAGATTTGAAAAACTGATTTATCCCTCAAGATTATAAGTTCCAGATTTAGAATCTTACTTTAACTCGCAAGCAATAAAAGCGTAGAAGAATTGTGGCACTGAAACAAAACCGGCCCGGAGCACTCGCGGTTGATTCCTCTTTGCGCCGGCCTCGCTTTATGCCTCGATCCGTCTACGTTTCAGCGGGTGTGTCGGACATTTTTTCTTCCGTCCGTTTGCGGCCGTCATCTGGAAAGGGCAGCGTCGAAGGTAGAGGGAAAAGCACAGATGGGTGGGTGTAGAGCCGTGGATGCAGACGGCGGGGACGGGCGCGGTGGGTGGCTCGGTTGTCCGAGCAATCGGCGGGATAGTCCGGAGTGGAGCCGCGATTTGGCAGCGATCCACCGTCACGGCGAGGCTGCTAGGCTCTCCGGGCGCTGGACCGCAGCCAACTTTCCCTCGGAGGCCGGATAGGGATTTCGGTTCGATGTGCGGCGACAATATTCTACGTTTATACGAGTACCAGCAGTCGCTGTCTCTCGCCTACCTCCAAACCTCCCGCCTCCCCCTCGTTCTCTCGCAAGTCTCGTCGACGTGTCCACCGGGTTCGGTTCGATTCGATCCTGCGGGTCGACTACGAAACGGACCATTGTGCTCCGCACTCGAAGCTGCTGGTTCATCTCGACTTATCCAACGACGAGCTCTATTATATATATATTCAAAATGATTTCCGGTCCACACGTGCAAACATTAAATTCTCATTATGCAGTATGAGTGCTAAGAATATTTCTCTTCTACTCAACGTTGACGCCAGTTAAATATCTTCAAGTTTGAACTACGCTTCATACTTTAAATCCTGACAATAATATAAAATAGGATAGATTCGTAATGATAATAAAGTAGATAT